CATAGAACACAAAGTTGCTCCCAATGGCAGGCAGCACCTTGCATGGAAGTTGTCGTCATTGGCGTATGAATGTGTGTGTGAAAAGGTGAATGAGAAGCACATTATAAATTGATTGGAAATAAGACCATCTAATTTAAGCTTTTGCTCCCATCCTGATTACTATGATGATTAGAGATTGCCGTCACATTTTGCTTCGTACACTTTGTTTGCAAAAGCCTAATCCAAATTCAACTTAACTTTGTGCTGACCAGCAGTCATGCGTGTTTATTTTGAGCTCCACAGTATTCACATACAAACACACACTGTGCCTTTCAAAAAATGTCTCACAAAACTCTTGAGCTACGATTTTTCTGATAACACCATAACAAGAATGCATCATCAGAGGTGTGAGACTTGATTGGAATTCACACCTACCGACAGTCATTAGACTATCAGCTTGATTTTCATTAATTCCGGCACAAGACACTTCACACACCTACACAAATGCACTCCGTTCAGTCGGACAGCTAGTAAATTACTGCTTTCATTATGTTACATCATATCTTGTTATTTGAAACAGATGTGATCGTTTGTACGGAGCACAGGCTTGATCACATCCAGGAAGAAGGCTACTGACAAAAACAAGCTGTCTGATGTGTTGGAAACTGTTGTGTGTTGATCACGAGTAAAGAAAGTGAGCTAGTAGGTCACACACACAACACAAAGACAACCAGTGGTGAACAAGTACTTGTAAATGTCATCGTTTCTAAATTTAGTACGTGCTGGTTTAACTTTATTCCAGGTCGCTCAGGACAACAAACTCATTCAGTTCATAAAGATACAGGCGAACTGTGTTTCCATGCAAATAATGAACTGTCTGTTTGCATTAGGAAAGGTAGCTTGACTTGGTGGTGTGGCCACGAATCCACGCCTGGACAGAAACTTTTTTTTTTCCAGGACTGAAACAGTAGGCTATTTAGGTTTATTCATAGTTAAGGGGAAAAGTTAAACGTTAGCATCAGATCACTGGACGGTTTGAACTTCAGCTTGTCCCGCTGCAATCTGCTGACTCCAGTTCTACATGAGCACAAGTGTTTCCATGAAGAGCGTCTGGAACACAGAAGTTAAGTTTTAACAGAGAGCACCCGCTCTGTAGTTCTCTGGAAGTCAGACGATTTGTGAAACAGCGGGAAGTAAAATACACAGGAAGACAGAGGCGTTGGGGACCCGGAGACAGTTATTATCAGCGTGGTTGTCATGTTGCCAGCAGGCTTCTTATCATCACACACAATGTGGGAACGACTTCCACCACAGTTATTGTGATGGAAAAGATAAGTTTGCAGTAATTTTCCTTTGACCAAACTGTGACTTATGTATTCTTATCTAACTGTTCTACTGTCTTTCCAAGTATCTTTGGGTGTGTTGAAAACTAGTTTCAAATGGCTCAAAACTGATATGCCAGAGATTGAAGAAATTAAACAAGTCAGAGCTCCAAGTTGCCATATTTCATCAGTCTTCAATTATTACTATTCTCAATGTAGTGATTAAAAAAGGTGTTATTTTCTAGCTTGGCTTTATGCTACAGGAGTCACAAGTACCTAAAGAGAGAGAGGTAGCTTGTGGTGACATTTCCAAGTGTGTAGATTTACCCAGACTTTGCAGATTATATTTACAGTTATGGCAATCACCACAGTAATGAGAGCTGTATAGTGTGCACAGCTGCCACGTGTATTTGTAAAATTCTTGCTTTAGAATCCTACATCAAGACAGGAAGCTGTGGGTCCACAGAGATATACTGAAATGTGTATCAACATATTTGGTTACACCCTTTGTAAGCTAGATGTGGAATGGTAGAAATATGACAAAACAACAAAACAAGTCATTGTCAGTTAGCAGCTTTAAATTGCTCAAACATGTTTACAGTGACAGACAAAAGTAGAAAGTGATATGGATGTCTGGATTATTCTAAACATATAACCCTAAAAAACTTGCAAGGACTGTATTTTTGTCTGCAAAGGTCAGTCGTCACAATAGATTGCATTTAAAGTTGGACAAACCCTCCTTCCTCACAGCCAGTCCAATGAGCACAGAACAATGAGGTGGAATGAAGTTGAGGTGGGCCATAAAACGTTCACACCCTTGATTATGCATAAGTTTAAGCCTTAATAAAACTTAAAAAGACAAACTATAAAAACAATTTATCCTCTGTACAGTTTTCATGAATTGGGAAATTAGAAATAGAGACCAAAACTACTCTTTATACCACACAGTAAACATGTTGATTACCCCTGTAAAGTTGAACATTTTAACATGGGGGTCTATGGGGATGAATTGTTTTTGAAATCTACCCCAAGTGGCCATCTGATGAACTGCAGTTTTGGACGGTTTAATTTCTCAGCTTCCAACTCGGTCCCAACAGTGTGGGGAATATATAACCCAAATAAAGAAACAACGATGCTTTACTGATATTGTGATAAAAAAGTGCAATACTTATCATAAAATGAATAATCAGAAAGGGAAGTGAGGACATAAAATCACACAAAAAGCATTTGTTACCAGTTCCATTATGGATAAGATATCCTTAGGCTATTTAATGTAAGCAAAAGCAGCAGTACAACAGCACCACATGTTTCACAATTTACTCTGATAGATGTAAACCATCATCTAATCACCCTACCTACAGCAAACGTCTGTCCGTTTAATTTGTTTTATTTTGTCATGGTGGAGTTAAATATACAATATGTCCTCGGAAGTTCCTTGGATTTAGTGTTAAATTTAAACTTAACTTGACTCCCCTGGGGGACTTCAAACATCTGCTAAAGACCCCGGAAAGATCATCTCTCGGTTCATGCTCTTGTTCTTAGTGTTTTGTTCTTTTTATCGCCTGGCACTGTTTGCACTTCCTTTTTAATCCCTACTGCTGTGTTTTATGTTGATCCTGTCTGTCGGTAACTCATTGTTGTTTTTTGTTATGTTTGTTGAGGACAGGTCCCACAGTGTTGTCCGTCTGTGAGTCCATGTTGTATTGTTTTGTTATTTGCGAACAGGTCTTTCTTGAGAATGAGACCCAGTGTCTCAATGAGATAACATGTATAATTAAAGAAAATAAAAGATAGATAGATAGATAGATAGATAGATAGATAGATAGATAGATAGATAGATAGATAGATAGATAGATAGATAGATACTTTATTCATCTCCAAGAGAAATTTACAGTTCCAGCAGCTTCCAAGAAGGGAACACAGGGGCATGCAGTGTTCTAGTACAATAAAATAAAATAAAAATACTCAACCAAAGTCCTTTAAAGTTGTACTCAGGTGCATGGGTGTAGAGTTAAGGGTGGGGGTGTTTTGAACACATGTATTTGCACAATACATAATATTCGACACAAAAAAGCTGATCTACAAGCGATTAAGCAGTTGAAAAGCAACACAGAATGCCCTGAGAGCCTAAATGCATTATACAGTGCTTCCCACTTAATGTCATACCGCTTCATGGAATATTCTGTTTATAAACATAAGATATCAAAGTCCTGAATCATTTCCTATAACCTGTAGTAAAACATCCTGTTTATTGTCATAGAATAATGTCATAATCCCGGTTTTTGTCATCACAAAATTCCCCGAAATTGATTCCAGGAATAACTTTAGCCTGTTTAACCCTCTGGGGATGTTTTAAGTTACTACCCTTTGAGGATATTAGAGGACAAAAATGTCCCCGATATCCCCAGAGGGTTAAAGTCATGGTTGGCCGATTGTTATGGCTCATGGGACAAGCGTGGCAGATTATCAGCCGCGGAAGGCAACGTGTTTGTTTGTTTCTCAGTTACCTGCTCACCTGAGATCTGATCACTGAGTTATTCACGCACTGTCTGACATTAGTTAGGGCACATCAAAGAGAATCGCACTGCTGCAGAGCCTGTCGTCACTCATAACTGAACTGCTCAGCTAGTTAATCATGATAAGTTAATCCTCTGTATACCCTCTGATTAAAAGCTACAAAGGCTAAAACATTCCATGAGAGACCCACAGGTGCGATCTCGTTCGTTCAAGGAAAGATACCATTACTTCCTTGTAAATATGTTTATTAATCGTAAATAGAAAGATTGAATGTTTGACCTTTTTTCATGTTCATACACTTTTTTCTAGTTTAATATTTAATAAAAGTTTAAAACAAGTTTTGTTTTCTTTCCTTAAATACTTTATTTCCTAAATGCATGCTAAATACATCCAATATGGGCCATGCACAAACTCACCACCATCTTGAAGCCCGCTTATTGGAATATCCCAGATATGGTCATAATTTCTTCCTGGAAACACCTGGACATATCAGATGTAAAAATTGGTGTCAAATTAGATATTTTTTTCAAACTTGAAATATGAGTACAAGTTTTTTTTTGTTGTTGTTGTTTTTTTTATTGGCACAGAGTGTGTGTTTGTTCCCATCACCTACTGCTGCTTTATGTACCTTTATTTTCAAGAAAAAATTTAGGCAAGGATCAAAAAATACATATATTTTTTTGTGTGTATTGAAGTGGAATAACTTTTTACTGGTAGCACCTGGAGTGATTCGGATTTCTGTGTCTAAAACTAGTGAGTGTCATCTTTACGAAAAAAAAAAAGAAGTCATATTTTATATACACTCCAAAAGGGTCAAAACCAGCATTCATTTTAATTTAGAGAGGTCATTTTACAGGTAGTTGCATTAAAATCACCCGGAATGATAAAGGGTTAAATTTAATTTTTCTTTAAATAAGTTTAAAAAATAATAATAATAATAATAAAATCCAGCATAAATTGAAACAGAAAGTGTACACATGTGGTTAAAAATTCCCCAGAATACAGAAAGTGTTTGACACTTTCCTGGAGAGGATCCACCAGATCTCCTGCTGTATAGATCCCCTGCAGTTTTACATAAAGCCTGCTCAGGTGGAGCACTTTGATTAATACGGTGCGCTACAGAATGGAGTTAGGATTTCCGAGGCGCCCTGAACGCACCACGGTGGGCTGGGCGCGCCTCCCCTCAGCCGGCTCCAGTGTTCGCTCTCTGCTCTTTACGCTGGAAGCTCGGCCGGTGTTTACGTCAAAGAAACAGGCAGCAGCGTGTGAAAGGGAAAGTGTTTGTGAGCGGGGGAGTCCTCCTCACCACCAGTGCGAACGAGAGGACAGCAGATAGGATTAAACTCAACTGAATGAACTCGTCCTGAAGGAAACCTGCGCGCAAAAAAAAAAAAAAAACCGCCTCCTCCTCCAGAAGCGGGTAAGAACCTCACTCTCCTTATTACTAACTCTCAGCTTTAAAGCTTCCACAAACCACATATGACTGTGGCCGGGCTTCCAACCGCTCTTGTGACCTTTCGCACTCCCTTGTCTCGCTGTCACGCTACAGTGGGAAATTACTCACCCACTTCTATCAAACTGACAACTTGAACGTTATTTTTTTTTTATTTTTTTCCCCCCCAATTTGATCTGTTGTTATTGCGTGAAAAGATGCGATAGTATAAAGCAGCCGCCGTCTTTGCATCCATTGTCCAACCGGCAGTTTCCTGATGGTGAGTTCACGTTTCTCTCTCTTAACTTTCCTGTGCGCTTTTTCCACTCCACGTTTTCTGTATTTGCGTAAAAGTTGTGGAGCTTTGTCTGCGATGCGCCCTGACAAGTAAGAAAAGGGGGGTAGCCAAAGTACTTATTTATTCTGATAATAATGTGGAGTCAAAACAACTTGTCAGTAAAATGTCGCTGCTGTTGTGACTGATAATGATGATGATGATGAGGAGGAGGAGGTGGTGAGAAAACAAGCCCCGGCGCGTCTCCGTGCGCAGCAGCTTCAGACTGGCAGGAGGTGAGTCAGACCTGGATGAATAGCTGGCGAGGTGGAGTCCCTGGAGGACGTGGAGCAGCGGGGCAGAACCTCTCCTGCAATTGGAAAAATAGTTTCAGATGGTTGTCTTGATAGAGCCCCAACTGTTTCCAGAGAGGACGAGGAAGCAGGAGAAAGCTGCATTTGAATAGCCAGTAATTGCTGATCCTGAATGGAGCCGTTAGCTGGCAGCTCTACTTGTGTTTTGTGCAGCTGATTTTCCAAGAGCATGACTTTTTTTTTTTTTTTTTTTTTATGGCAAGTGAGCTGTCACAGTTGAGTGTAAAGTAAATGTTAGCTGACTCCATTAATCCAACCCATACTGATCTGCAAGCAATTAAATGTTGGCTGCTCTTTCTCGGCCCAAAGTGGAATTATTAGATTATTTGAAAACATTATTTATTTTCATCATCAGCCTGGACATCCTCAGTCATCACTCAGTTTTTCTAGCTCGACTCTCTGCTGTTTTGTCTCATTTGTGACATTTTGATGGTGAATTTCACAACCTGATTAAACCAGTTGATTTATTTAGATTACCTCAGTATCGATTATTTCCATTTAAGACAATCTCTGAAGAGAAAACATGTCCTTCACCTGGGCTTTCCTAAAACCAACAATAATGGCACCAAAGTTTGGAACAACAATCCAAAACTTAACAATTTTTTATTTTTTCATGACTTAATTAAAAAACGAGCGGCAAATTATTACAATTTAGCAGCCAGAACAAAGATAACTTTCACATTTTTTTTTGCCTGAAAAATCACTAAGTGATTAATCCATTATCAAAATAGTTGTGATTAGTTTTCTGTCAGTTTGGTAATTGATTGTCCAGTTTATCACTGCAGCCTACACTGTAAAAAATAGAAAATAAAATAAAAAAGTACTGTTATTTTTTATAAACGATTCACTGTTATTTTACAGATTTTTACACATGATATCTAGTAAAATAACAGCAAAAAAAAAATTTAATTTACACAAAAAGCAGCTGTAAATGTTATCCACATACAAAAATCTGTTTAAAAAAAAAATTTTACAATGTGGGACAATGTTGTTTTTTTTCTCCATTTTTTTCTTTTTACTATATTTAAATCAGCTATAAAGATCATTATTTTACAGATATTTGCCATTATTATTATTATTGTTGTTGTTATTATCATTTTACAGTATTTCACCATTTAAAAAAAAAACCCCAAAAAATTCTGATACTGGTCCTGCCAGATTTATTTATTTATTTATTTTATTTATTTATTTTTTACAGATTTTTGATTTGGATTTTTTACTGTATGGCCTGGAGCTTGCCACATATAACACCCCTCCACCCCCTTGCCCCAACTGGATAAATATTTAACAAGCCTACTGTTCAATTATCGTTCTAATGATGTGGATGTGTAGTTATGGACCTGCAAAACTCCAAAACTCCACTGTACCAATAAGAACGTTCATATAAACCCGCCCATGACATAAAGTGGGTGGCATTTCTGTCTTGTTTGGAAAACCTTTTATTGAGGTTTTGCTTGCTCCTTATGGGTTTAGGCAAAAGAATGAAACGGTGTGCTGCGTCAGAGGATTATGCAGATTTGTCAGAGATTTTGTGGCTCTGTTTACGCTGCGTCTGTTATCCTGTTAATATCTCTGATTAGATTAAACCTTTGTAGGCAGCGGTACAAATCAGTGAGGATTTCCTGATGCTAGTTTTGGATTTTGGTGTTTTTTTTTTGCACCAGTGAGAGAATTGTTTGTCAGGTATTAGATTTATGGATTAGCCCAAAATAGACATTCCTATGTGGTTATGTTCTCCATTTGGTTTATTGCAGAAAATATGTTTTATTATCATAAACTGTATGTTGATATCCTGTTTTAATACCCCATACTGATATGAGAATTTCTCCATATTGCTAACTCGTCACTAATGCATTTGCTTGAACAGGACTGAGACCGAAAGATTTTGTGCAAACAGGGGGTTCGTGATTCTTTGTTTCTAACATGCAAAAGACAGTGAGTCAGTGCACCGTGAAGTCCGTATGTACTAGTATGTTGTTGCAGTAATTAAATAACAACAGTGTCCTCATTAGTGTTTCTGTTCCAGTAAAAACTGAACTCTCACTTTCAGTATTCATGGTATCGACAGGTGGTGACTTCTCCCAGGAGCTTCAGATGTTGTCAGAGTCAGTGAGCAGATTGTTTGATGGGGACAGATGTGTTTAAATACATGAGATGCTGCATCGTGTTAATATGTTTTTTTCCCTCCTCCTCCTGCAGTCTCATGTTGCTGCTTCACATTCAAGGGTTAATTAATTGAAAATATCTCCTTGGTTTAATTCTGTTATTATGTCCACACAGATACAAGCACATACAAACAAACATTACACCTATTCTTGTAAGCGGGGCTTCTCATTTACCAGATTGATTTGCAAATCATTACCTCCTTGCACACATTCTGAACACACTGTTTTTTTCCATGGTGCTGTTTTTCACAGATGCGTATCAATGAATTAAAAGATGTGGTCGCTGTGTTGCGTAACTGCTCTTCTTTGGCACCAGAACCATAACATTCCTTGTGTTAATTGGATTTAATGTCAATTAGAGAAAAAAGAAGTTAAACACTGACAAGTTGCTCTCGAGAACAGGTTAAGGGACAAAAAGGAAGCAAGGATTTCACCTGTTTCTTGTTTCATGAATGAAAAGCAGCTCTGGAGTGTTTAATCCGTGTGGGGGAGGGTGGGAGGTCCACCTGCCAAGTGAGAGATGTGCCTCTAAAATTGAATGAGGCTGAAAAATCCTCTGTTGTCCTTTAATGCCAGTGCTCAAATACATTTACCCTTGCAATCTGTTTGATTCCACCCATTGCCAAGAATTGCAAGTACCCCCATTTATCACAGTTATGACAAACGTCTTAAGTCTTGCTTGAATCAGAATCGACCGCTTCAGATCCTCGTGTACTGTCGGTACAAGAAGCCTCCTTAAACTTGTGCGGGTCTTCTCTTCTCTCTCTTTCTCCTCAGTGAGATTCTCCCCAGCTGAAACCCAGACAGACCATGCTGACGCTATGACCACAGCTACAATGTAAGTACTGCAGTGCATGGACTAATCTTCTGTTAATGAGCTGTTAAATTCGATGATTGAACAAGCGCTGCTGTTTGGATTTTATCACGGTGGGCAGCAGGATTTAGTCTTAAAGAACCAGTCTGAAATCGGATGGGATTACAAAAGAATAACACTGACATTGTCCCAAAGGATGGATGTGAAGGTGCACTTTGGAATCACTGGGCTTTCTGCTTTATATAACCAAACTTGCAGTCTGTAATGTTTTTCCTCGTCACGTGAAAGTGGAATCGTTTCGTTGCTTTTGGAAAACTTTGTTAAGATTGTGATCTTAAACAAAGCATTTCGAAGACACAAATGAGCAAAGTTTAATGTTAGAGCAATTGACAACATCACTTGATGCGACCGGGAGAGAGTTTAGAAGTTGAATTTTAAAGATAAAATCAATAGAAGAATACACAAGCAATACAGTAATGCAGCTGCAAACCTGACAGTGTTGTATCTCATCCCATTTGAAATCAATTTAAATGTACAGATTTTAAATGAGAGAGCACTTGAGCTTATTTTGCAGGTTGAGATTTAAGAAAAAAAAAACAAAAAAAAAAAACGCTAGGGAACCACTGCACGAGTATGACCCTGAGTATCAGCAAGCACCCACCTCTTGGCACTGCAGTACCGAAAAGCTGTTAATGTCACCTGCTGACCAGTGTCTTGTGTCGCAACGGCAGACAGTTTATATAAGATGAGTCACAAAGTGTAGAGCAGTCTGTCCAGTTCTTCCAGTATGCAGTTAAGCTGTGACAAACCCACAGTTCCCTGGTACTTTGTTGATCACGGTGGCATCTGCACTGTCATAACACAAGCTTCTTTGTAATCATTGCAGACTTTGTTACAGTGAATTGTTATTTGTCAGAGTTTTTGATCGAGGCTGCCTCACTGGGAGCTTTCACAAGAACCTGAATAGAGATCGGAAATGCAGATACACCAGCTGGCTCTTCCAGATAATTAGAAATGCTACCAAAACTACTCGCATTATATTTTGGCAGCAGACCTTAACGGCTACTAGTTCTCTTGATACCTGACGCACTCGGTTATTGCCTATATTTTTGCTCTTTTATAGCTACTTTCTCAATTTTCTTTTCATACTGTTTTGCTCTTCATCTCACTTTTCTCTCGTTATATCGTCTCTTCATCCCTTCATCCATTGCTTATCCCCTCTATGTGTCTCTCTACAGGGTTCGGTCTGTAGTGCTGACAGTCCTGATGCATGTTTTCCTGGTGCCCCATGGTGAGTTTCACCTCAAACACAACAGCTGTGACCCTTCAGGATGTCTTCTTCCAGCTTGTACTAGTCTCCCTCTTTATTTGACTGGTGTTGCTCACACATAGAGAACAGAGTCGGGAGGTTCATTTCATGATTCGTTTTTTTGAAATTATGCGCTCCAAACCTGCCAAAGACACACATCACAGTGTTTCTTTCATTGACCTTTTATGTCTAAACCGAGCGTGGAGGGTTTTCTTCACTCAGGAATCTCAAGAACATAAATTTAAGTTGCACTGTGTTTGAATTATTCCACCAAACTAGGGAGAGTTTAATTTGTCAACTGGGGTTTGGCACATTTCGGTCCTGGCAGAAAGCTTCTGATGCCGTCACTGTAGAAGAAAATGACTTCTGAATGTGAATAACGCAGCTTATACTTGGATCCAATTTTGTCCTTGTGTAGTTCTATCTGCAGTTGCGTCAAATATAGATAAGATTGTGACGTGCAAATTGAAAGACTGTCCCAAACACCTGATTCAGAGCTTCGAAGCTTCAATGAGACCAAAAGGGGCCTGGGGACCAAAAAGACCATGGATGCACCTGCATGACAATTATCCACGGTTGCTGTTACTTACAGTTTTCAGGTCATTTGTCAAACCACATTTGTCTGCCACTCAACTACTTGGGTGTCACCTTCGCGGATTTGGAAGTTCTAAAACATGAACTGTGTCTGGACACTTCACTTTTGTGTCTTTATTAGTGTCGTTTAGGGATGATTTTGGGAAAATTGTGATTTTTCTGACAGATGTTCTTGCAGTTTGATTGGCATTATAATTGTTTTTAATTCAGGTTCAGTTCAATATTCACTATGTAATATATTTAAAACGTGATGGAGTAATAGCACATAAGATTCCCTTGAAAACGTTACTTACATTGTGGCCTGCCATTGTGATTTGCTAACTACATTGTTTCAAATATTCAATCTGAAATTCAATTAATTGTTCAGCCCTAACGTATTTATAAGTTGTAAAACTGTTACATGGTGACGTGCCACTGATAACTGGGATGTGCCTAGATTGAATATCCTCATCCAAGAATAACTAATGCTGATAAATAATGTTGAAGCGTAATGAATGTTGAATTACTATTTTGTGAAGAGATTCCTTAGACTTCTGTTTTCTCTTTCACACTTCTTAGATCTTTGTGCATCTGTACATATAAAAAAACATTTCTATGCAGATGACACAGCTTTGTATATCACAGTTTGGTTTAGTCTCCAAAAATAGCTGAACCACAAATTTACTATAAATGTTTACAAAAAGCTAAAGACTCCTGATATTATTTTGTGAGTGTTGAGGAAAAAAAAGACAAGACAGTTTAAACCTATTTAATCGTGTGTTTTCAACCAAGATGCTCTGACATTTGTAATAAGAGTAACTCAGATGGACATGAAATCTGTATTGCTTTTCTAACTTGTGTTGTAATTTCACTTCCGCACTTTGGGTTTTGAGGGAGTAAAACCATATAATTTCCTGATAACGCTGTTGACTCTTGATTGCTGGAGATTCGTTATACTGTACTAGACAGATTTCCCCTGGGTGTGGCTCATGCGGTTTCTGCTACCAAAATGAAAACCACAGTGCTTCTATGAGCCACCACCAGTTTGTCGAACTAACATGACGACTTTTGCCTGAGTCCAAATCAGTAGCACGTCAGGTGTGCGCTGATAAAGTCTTATTTTATGTTCGTTTCCCATTTATCACTGAAACAGACTGTCTCTATAGCCGATGGATAGAAAAAATATGAAATTATGAAATTATTTCCTGCTGAAAGTAACTGTTAATATTGTGCAACATTTTAGGGGAACAGAAACCAAACGCAGAAAAAAAGGTTCCTGAATTCCCTTCCCCTATCGTAGCAGTGGTTTCAGTGAGAACTCTAAAAATTGTTGGATTTACCACAGAAAAGATAATTATAACACATCCACCGTATTATAATGTCACCTGTTTGATTCAGAAGAACCCTACATTTAAACTATAAAACTCCCAGTAATCAGCTTTTTTTTCTCCCTGTTCATGCGTTGAAGCCTAGTTAACTCCCCCGCCTATCTGTGAGCAGGTGTTCAGAGTTTGAAGCCTGAGGATGGAGCCTCGCTTCGCTCAGGTGCCCTGAGCCTCCCGTGGCAGGATGAACTGTGCTGTGAATCATCTTCAGCCCACCGCGGTGTGGAGGGAGGCAACGCGAACGCATCGGAGACTAACCGCTCTGAATCAAACCTCCCACACCGTCCCCGCTGCAACTACAGGGGCTTGACAACCGAATTGCGTCCCGATGAGCCCTCTGGTGGTGAGTAAGAGTTTACGTCCACAAAGTTTCATAACAAATGTGCCTCGACACTCTTAGTCTTGTGCAGTCGACAGAGAGATAATGAGTTTGTCAAGTTTTGGTGCTTCTGTAAAGGTTACTACGGTGAGCAGGCAGCTTGAGCTTGAGGCATGGGGGGATTATTTTCATGGGTAATGTAATTTTGATTCATTGAGTTTTTAGGTTTTAGAGTTTAATCAATGCCAGGAGAGGAACTTTAAAGGTAAAAAAAAAAAATCAGGTCTGTTGCTGGACCCATATCCACCTCGTGGAGTAGCAATTTTCGAATGAGTCCCGTGCTACCACATGCACAGTCCCTGATAGCTTTATGCTTGACTTAAACAGTGCAGGATGGAGATCAGTTTCTGAATGAGTGTTGCTGTGTTTGTTCACAAGAAAAACCTTTAAGTGATGCATCAGCAACAACAGGTGAGCTGCACAATGTGGCGCCGGCTCATCAGAACACGCAGCGGGCTTAATGTGACACAGTCTCATGATTCAGCAGCGTCACTTATCGCTGATAGAAATGCTCCCAAAGACCAGGTTGACAGGCTCATTACACTTTAATGGCTTTTTATCTGACATCCCTCCCTCCTCCTGCTGTCAGCGTGGGCGCCCATGTGAGTCCCGCGCTGTCATCAGTTATCAAGACTTGTCCGGATCACGAGAATCCGCTCTGCCTTTTATCAATCAATCGTTTATTTGCAAGGAGCGAAAATAAGAAGGTCATTAAGTTGACACTGCCGACAGGAGCCGGTTCAAGTGAGTCATAATTATAAAACACTCTCTTGATATTGTGGAGGTGAACATGGCGGAGACACGACAGAGGTGAGGAGGATTTGTTTGTTTCCATCGATCGGTGAGGCCCTGTGACGCACAAGAGCTGCGAGCTCTTTGTGTACGTGATGGCAATTAAACAGTGAAGTTAAAGGCCTCCGTTGTGCCTTCTGATTGTTTTACGGGTCTTTAAGCAAATGAGAATGATTCAGCTGTCCGCAGAGCATCGTCAGCATTTCAAAACAGTCCTTCTGCGTCCACGTTAGTCATGCCGTTTCATTCATGTCTTTTGTTGCTTTCTGCGGCAACATGTATCCCTGTGACAGGTGTGAGTTAGAGACGGTAACGAATAAAGACAATACAGAACATTTGCCTCCATATGTGCGGCAATGTACACTGTATATGACAAGCTCTGACCTGTCAGTGAACAGACACGAGACCTCTGCAGAAGTCCTGTTGTGTAGAGTGGGGCCGTCGAGAACGAGACTAGGTCCTGCGTATCCCACCGATGCTCAGCTAGTTTGGTATCTGGGGAGTTTAGAGGCTGGGTCAACACTTTGGGCTCTTTGTCGTGTTCCTAGAGCCATTCCTGAGCAGTTTTTGTGAGGTAAACTGCTGTTAGGTAGTGCCATTGCCTTACGTGGGTGGTACAGAAGCATAGGTTTGCAGACATTTTGTATCAGAAATCAACTGCTCGCATTTAGAATTAAACATTTTTGTGATTTAAAATTTTCCAAATTGTACCTTTATCATGATTATTCCATTGACCCCAATCATGGATTTGATGATTTTGGAATCTGTACATGCATTTGTCAGGCAGAAACACTGAAAAACGTCTTTTGTTTGTCGTTTGTTATGTTTCTCGGGTAGATTTTCATAGTTTCATAGCACAGGCTTAGTTCTCAGAATATTACGTCTTGCGGCTTTTCTCAGAAGGCTTCATCAGCACCTCACAGTCTCCTAACATGCAAACGCTGTTTCTTGTCAGGAACCTGTGTGAACATACTGTGCAGAGTTGATGAAAACTGGGGAAAATTGACATGTGATCTTCAGTCTCACGTCCAACAATCCGGCACGATGGGTGTTGGTCTTATGGCGGTCAGCTTACAGCGCCTGTTGTGAGTATTCTCCAGAGTGTGTACGTGCGAGCCATTGTGTGTGTCTGTGTGCTTTTATCTAATTTTGTCTTCCCGACTGCTCACTGGGGGGTTAAGCATGTGTGTTTACTTTGATCAGCAGAGGGGAAGCTGTGTTGTGTATCCCTGGCTCCAGACCTTCACTGTGGTGAGGGTGAAGAGACCAGCTTACGACTGATCTAACACATACACACATTTCCTAAGAGATGGAAGATCATACGAAGCTCTCACTTGTTGTACACTGTTGTGAAATGTTTGCTGTGAAAGTAAACAAATCCGTTTTCCCTCTACGTTGATTAATGAGCCATTCTGAAACTTTTAATCATATTCAGCAGAAAAAACATGGCACAGGTGTCACAGAATGGGAGATGTTGTAATTTCCATATTTTCAATAATCCATAATCACGGAAACAAAATGATATAATCAAAAACTGCATCATAAATATGTTGTGACTCTGAAGGATACTGCAGTCACATTTACTTCAGACATTAAATCTGACACACACAAAAAAATCCACTTCATAGTAGTTCAGCATTCTGAAAAAAGGACTTATTCTTACATGTTTTTGCTACTTTTTCGACATTGAGCGACAGGTGGTTTTCCAGTATCACATATTTCCATGTTTATATTCAGTCATAGATCATGCACTGAGAGAACAGAGGCTCGAGTAAGTTTCTGTCCATTTCCAGGCCTCAGAAAACGGACACAGAACTGAACAATCCTGCATCTGATAATCCCGTTGTTTGTGAAGCGGAGGATTCCTTCATGTGCTCCGTCGCTCTTGAACCTACAAGTTTTGTCACAGTGGTTACCGTCAGCATCTCAGACGCCGTGGCTCCTCCGGTACTGCTCAGAATTCCTGCCCGACCAGGTAAGAAAAGGAGTTTTTTTTTGTCGTTGTCTTATTCTTTATCAGTTTGAATGACTCACAGCTAGTAGATACACTTAAACACAACTAATAAACGTCCCACAGAATACAAGAGTTTCTTATGCTGTCTGTTTTGAACCAGTAGTTAGTGGTCATAGAAGAATCCACTGTGGAGGCCTCAGTAACAGTCACTTCATAAACTCAAGCTGTGCAGTTAAAATGTACACTGATGAGCCACAGCTTTAAAATCACTGGCAGGTAAAGTGAACAACACTGATCACCTTGTTTCAATGACACCTGTGATGGTGTGGGTTATATTTGGCAGCAAATGAACAGTCAGTTCTTAAACGTAACGTGTTGGAGGCAGGAAAAAGTGTGCGAGAATCTGTGGGACTTTTGACAAGGACCACATTGTGACGCGTCTCTAAAGCTGCAGCTGCTGTTGGGTGTTCTGTACACAGTGGTTAGTGTCTACTTAAAGTGGTCCAAGGATGGGCCACTGGTTACTTGGCTGCAGTGTCAAGGATGCATGTAGAGAGCGAAGGCTGGCCGGTGTGGTCTGATCTTACAGAAGAGCTACTGTAGCCCAAATCCACTGAGAACCTCAATGCAGAGAGATTCTTTTGACTGTAAAGCCAGTGAAGTAAGCACACCATTAAAGTGAAATAAACTACCTACAAATGGACACATGAGTGGTCCATGAGTGGAAGATAAGCCGAAAAGCTCTACTGGGAAACCTTGGGTCCAAGACCATGACAGAACAGAAGAGTTCAAGATGTTGACTTGTCTTTCAAATTCCCCACCTCTCATTCTCAATACGCATCTGAGGGATTTTCTGGAAAAACAAGTCAGATTAATGAAAGCACCTCCTCTTCCAGGACTTCTGCTGTTGACCTTTTGTTGCCTGATACCACAGGACCCCTTCAGAGTTCTGTGGAATCCAGCTATTGAAGGCTCAGAGCCGTTTTGGCAGCGCAAGTGTGGCCTACAGAATATTAGGCGGGTGGTTTTAATGTTTAGCAGGTTGGTGTAGATCAATTCTGAGAAATGCTGTGTAACTCTTGTTGATTTTGGAGGGGCTCCACTTGTGCCCTGATTAGTTATGGGGAAAAGTACAAAATTATGGCTGACGTACAAGTTAGTGTTGCAAGCTAGAAAACACAGATTTATCAATTTAGTTTTTTATGACTGAGTTACCTCTCTTTCCATCTTGAGGTAGAATAAATCTAAAGGATCATTTCTGTTTATGTGAACGTGGTGCATCTCCCACTAATGTGGCTCTACAGGTCACGCTAACTCGTCACATTTGTCAGTGACATTTGGGGAAATTATGAGTCAGACTAGCCCAAGCTCTCTGCAGCTTTACAAAATGGTGAAAGGCATCGCTGAATATTTATTAGTCATTAATTAAGGTATTTTTTAAAAACTTATAAAACATTTATAAAGTATCCCATATTAGACTCTCAGTTGAGTAGTTTTGAGAGTTTTTTTTTGTGAAAGCTGAAGTTGTAAACTGTTTGTCAATCAACATGCATTGTGATATTTTAGATGTAGAGCCACAGTGTTTTCAGGGCTTTACAGTAAGTGACCAGGAGGCAGGTTCCCAGCATTCCCTTTTATTCAAAGGTTCTACAAACAGATTCGGTCATGCGTGACGAGGATCTTAGTCTTTAAAGCACAAACTATTCTAACATTCAACCTTAATGTGACAGATAAGGAGAAACTGTTGTATTCAGCCGAGATTTTTGGACGTGCCCTGAAAACAGCTAAAAGAAGCTGGACCCCGGCCTTGTGTGCGTGTGTGTGTGTGTGCGTGGTTGTGTAATTGTGTGTGTGTGTTTGAGAAAGAGAGTTCCGTCGTGATAGAAAAGGACTTCTCATGCTGTTTGTTCAAGCAGACCTCTTTGGTTAAACTCACAGAGCAGGACAGAAAATGGATAGTCACCATATGTTGTCCAAATATTGCTTCTCCTTCATTGCGGTTTTGTCCTTGTAGGGGTTAAAGTGTGTCACTAGAATAGCTTTCATCCTTTTAAACTAATTTTATGTAATTTTTTTGGCTCTTGAAACAAAGCTTTTCTTGTGTTTTATTCCTCCAAATATGTAGCATCTGGAAGATAGATAAAGGACAGTTTATGTAGCTTGAAAACTGCAGGGGAATGGATGCTTCTACTGGCAGAACTGTACTCTCGTATTGTGTTTGTGAACCATTTTGAGGTACTTCATTTCTGCATTTTGGATTAAAACATTCTAGTTTTTACTCCCATCATTTCAGATTAACAGCGATTATCTTATACGACTGTTGTAGATTAAACTGTTCAACATTAAATGAACCAAGCTTCACCCTGAACAGTGGTAGCAGTCACATGCTCCTTCATCCACTGGGTGTTTCCATGTCACAAGTCATTTTACTTTTGGTACTTAATGTACATTTTGTTTCAAATAGTACATTTTTGATCTCGTACGATTTCGAATGCGGGGCTTTTGAAGAGGGATGCTGCTACAAAACAAATCATCATCATTCTAGAGCAGCGGTCCCCAATGTTTTTGGCACTATGGAGCGGTTTTACGCAAGAAATTTTTCTATCATTGTTGCACACATAACAAAAATCTTTTTTCTATTCAAAAGTTCCACAAACAAGTAAAATGACTTGCTAAATATGTGTTTACTTCTTATTCTGTCTCAGCGTTGAGTTTTTCCAAAGAAGCTCTCCAGAGACGTTTGTTTCTGTTTATATGCATTTCGTTGGCGATTAGACTGACGTTTAACAGCCGGGCATGAAAACTGACAGTCAAGTGCAGGAAACAAGCACAGACAGAAGTGACGATAAGACGAGCTAGTCATTGTTCAAAAGAAAACACCCTGTAGACTGCGCTGGAAATAAAAATAAAACAATAAACTTTTTTTTTTCTTTCTGTGCGGCCCGGTACCAAATGATTCACGGCCCGGTACCGGTCCGCAGCCCGGTGGTTGGGGACCACTGTTCTCGAGCACAAGATGAAGCTGTTAAAGCTGTTAAATTTCCCACCAACAGTTTAAAACCATAAATACTAAATTCAAACTGTAATTACAAGAAACTGGATAGGATGCAATCATCTAATGATAAAAAGCTAAATTTAATTGTCTTAACAATTGTATCCTTATCAGAAACTGCGTTTTCTGATAAGGATGTTTTGCACCACAATTTCTACATCTTGAGACTTGTTCTATTAGCCCGCGTGTGTTTATGGTACGGACCATTTGCTTTAGTCATGCTTTAGCTTTTAGCATTTTTTCTGTTTGCGCTGTAACCATGGAATCAGACAACAGTCGCTGGACGCATTCAGATCCAACGAAGTAATGTCTATGATTTAGAGAGCTGCAGGAGACCCAAACACCGGCATCCAAGGTGATGTCTCTCACTTGTACTGTGTCAACCGTCTTCAAATCTAACACATGTTGCTTCATCTTGAGTTAGGTGTGTAGATAAGTCTTTTAAGATAACAACTTAAAGCCCTTGTTGTTCCTCCTGAGAGAGTGATCTGGAGGAAATAGTTGAGCTCTTAGTAATAATGGTGAGTAACCTCTCCTGCCCCGAAAGGCATATTCGTGGTTTTAGGAGACTCAATGTTCTCCAGTTGTATTCGTCATAACTGAGTGATCACTTTGGATATCTTTGTTATCTGCTGCACCCATCTCACCTCAGCGAATGACAGGAAAGAGTGTTTGCCTCGGAAATCCACCAGAAATGAGCATGTAGTCTAAATATCAGCCTCCGTACAGTCTCACACACTGTGTGGATTGCTGATAGAAAATTAAAAATGTACTCTGTTGACATTTATATACGCACATGTCATATATTATTGACTACAAAGTGAAGTTAATTTGCCATTTGTGACAAGCAGAGAAATCAAATTACATGCCGGCTGCATTTTCCATTAACTCTGCGTTCAAAATGTGATTGATTTATTTAATCCTGGCATGAGAACTACAAGATGAAGATAAGTTTCATTACAGCAAATGCTACTGTTGGATGTACAGCGCAGTAATGCCGTATGTTCTCAGGGCTGTATATCCTGACAGATAACAAAGTAATTAATTAGAGACCTTAAGGCACCTTGCTTTACTTTTATGAGCCACTGGAAAAATATAATCCTCTAAGCTAAAAAAAAAAAGTTAAAGGCGTCTTCTAACCTATGATTAAGCAAGCTGACCTTACAGCAGGATCAAAGTGGTGTTATGATGGCATTAGTAGTGATTAGTCTGCTGTGCAGCATATTGATCCTGCAGCAGACCTTACAGTATGATAATATATCCTCTTTTTTTTTTTTGCAGTGAAACCGAGTCCTCCAGCCAACCTGTCACATTTCCAGAACATTGAAGCACAACTGATTGTACAGTGGGACGACCCGACAGACTTCGATGTCGGCCCGCTGAGATACGAGGTCCGATATTCCTCCAACACCACTCACCCAAGTTGGCAGGTAAATAATGAGTTGTTACACACTAAGCAGGGATCAAATACTAGATAAGAGACAGATGGTTGCAGATAACATGTTCTTTGTAAGCAGTTAATCTGTTATTTTTCTGATTTATTAATGCATCCTTTATCTGTAAAAGGTCAGAAAATATTGGAAACTCTTGGTCGAAATCCAAAATTCTTTAGTGTTCTAGTGGAGAATCAAAATGGTTTTTTTGACTTAGGGATTAATGTGGACTTATAGTTGCAGCTTCCAAAAGGTGATAAAGTTTTCTTCTACTTTTGCTGGCAGTCCAGTGATTCTGCTTTTTGCTTTAGGCTCTGCATCAACGCTGAAATGTGTTTTAGCCAAGAGCACCCTAGCGATGCATTCAGTGGTTTAATTTAGGAATGTAAACGTGAACTAACACGTAGATTGTAAAGAAAACAATAAAATCATGCTTCCAAAGAAGAAATGAGAACAAGCAATGCTACAGAAATAACCAACTGTCACACGGTCCAGTTGGTTTTGGTTTTGATAGAGAAGAGACACCAAACTGTGGCTGCATTCATACTGCGATGATGGATTTGACTGAGTCACCACTTTCAGGGGAACAAACCCAACTCTGTGTATCACTGTGAACCTGCTCTCATCCGTGAAGAGCACAGGGCGCCAGTGGCCAATCTGCCAACCTTGGTGTTCTCTGGCAGATGCCAGTCTCCCTGCACAGTGCTGGGCTGTAAGCACAAGCCCCACTGGTGGACGTGAGGCCCTCAGACCACCTCACGGAGTCTGTTTGTTTGAGCAGAAACATGAATATTAGTGGCCTGCTGGAGGTCATTCTGCAGCTCTGGCAGTGCTCCTCCTGGTCCTCCTGCACAAAGGAGGAGGTAGCATCCTGCTGCTGGGTTGTTGCCCTCCTACAGCCCCCTCCACGTCTCCTGGTGTACTGGCCTGTCTCCTGGTATCTCCTCCAGGCTCTGGACACTGTGCTGAGAGACACAGCAAACCTTCTTGTCACAGCTCGCATTGATGTGCCATCCTGGATGAGCTGCACTACCTGAGCAACTTCTGTGGGTTGTAGACACCACCTCATGCTACCTCTAGGGCTGAAAGCACTGACAAAATGCAAAAGTGATCAAAACATCAGCCAGAAAGGACGAGAACAGAGACATGGTCTGTGGTCACCACCTGCAGAGCCACTTCTTTATAGAGGTTTTCTTGCTAACTGCCTCTCATTTCCACCTGTTGTCTGTTCCATTTGCACAACAGCAGGTGACAATGATTCACAATCAGTGTTGCTTCCTAACTGGACAGGTTGATTTCACAGAAGTGTGACTGACTTGGAGGTACATTGTGTTGTTTAGGTGTTCCCTTCATTTTTTGGAGCAGTGTATAATACTCAGTTATTTTTCCTCATTGTCTATGTCTTCTTCAGACTCAACAACATCATGACTGCAGTTTCTGCATGTTAATGCCTTGGGGTCACAAGCATCTCGGCCTGTGGAATCTGTAAAGGCTTTACATGGAGAAACTGCAGTCATGATGTTGAGTCTGAAGAAGACATAGACAATGACTCTTGAATCTTCTGACACTGTGAATGAGAAATAACTCTGAGTGTTGTATAAGTATGTGAAATAAAAGCCACTGTGAATGTAAATGTAAACGTGAGTGTGGCCTTTTTCAACAATGGAGGGTTTGTGGTAGAATATAAATGCTAACAGTCAACTCAGAATCATAAAAAAAAACCCTGATTTGACCCTCATAAGTTACTTAAGGCCCGATTTTTCGTCAATCGTTTATCGGTACCCTAACTTGAGCAGGGTTTCCCACGGAGTTGAACTTCAACATTCTAAGTCATGTTATTATACACCTTTACAAACATACTGGTGAAGAAACTGTTTGGTAAAAATCTCATAAAATGCCTTTACCATATGTGTGTTTGTCTTCATTCCCCCCTCATCTGTGTCCAGGTGTTGCCTACACCTGGAGAACCCCGGCTGTCTCTGGATCTGAAGCCCAAACGTAACTACAGCATCCAGGTTCGCTGCTCCGGTCTGCAAGAGCCTCCGCTGTGGAGCGAGTGGAGTGAATCTTACCACATTTACCTGGACAGTAAGAACCAGCTCCTTTCCAATTTTATGTACAGGGAAAAATATACAGAAGAGCAGCTGCTTCTTTAAGTTGTTATTTTTTACTCACATTTTTGCAGCTGTTTTTTTCTCTCTGTGAATGTGTCAGGCGCTCTGGATGAATTCCTATGAAGTGCACAGTATTTGCGCAAGAACCTCAGAGGGTTCAATGAATTTAGGATAAAATGATCTAACGGTCCAAACTTTCCCTGCTTGTCTTGGAACTGGTTGCTGTGTGTGCCAGTATGCATTTGACATTTTAAACCTGCCCTGGTGGCTGCAGTTCAGCTCTCATTCTCCGAGAACCTCTGCAGATGAGGATTCACGGCATATTGCAGATAGATGGATTCAATCGCTGACCCCAGTTAGCGCTCCGGTAGAGTTATGCCAGTGCTGTGCTATTAATAATGAATCCAGCTCATTAGCCTGAGCCAGTAATGACGGACTCATTTCAATGTGGGCGATGTCAGCAAACTCTGAATCACAGGTCGTTCTCAAGGTTACAAACCATGCAGTGTGACAGTAGCTCAAAAAAAAAAAAGGTTAGTGTCACAGAGTGAACATGTGGGAGATGTCAATGTGCATTTTTTTTAAACATATCATTTAAAACCCATTCACGAGTGTAACTAGTATATAACATACAAGCAGCATCAGGAGCTCATAGATTTTTAATTGTGCCTCAGTGGACTTTTTTTTTTTTTTTTTTAACCAATAGTTTATGTAAAAAATCTGTTTTTTAAATTCTGAAAGTGAAATTTGAGAAATGAAACCAAGACCTGAGAACTGAGAGCTGTCTGTGTACTCTGAAATCAGCATCACTGCAAAGATAAATGATAAATTGTTCATACTAGCTGATTGTTTGTTAATACTCTGCAATACAAACTCCTGATTAAATGCTCACGAGAGCCTGAGGGCCTCAAACAGCACCAGTGAGTAATTCAGTCTTGTATTTGAAAGCGTTGTGTTGCCAGAGTAGATAAGTGTGTCTACCTGATTTTTCACATCCAACGGTATACAGGGATGAACATCAAACTTACTGACAGGTGAAGTAAACAGAAGAATAAGACCTACTGTTTCACAAAGTGCTGAAATCCTTCATGCTGGTTTTGATAGAAAGGTGTCAGAACACTCGGTTCATCACAGCTCGCTGTCTCTGGGCCTCTATAGCCACAGACCAGGCAGATTGGCCACGCTCACCTCTGGCCACTGAGTGCCAACATGCTGCATGTGGGCGTCGTAACTGGACCTCGGATCAATGGAAGAAGGTGTTCAATGAGTCGCGCTTTCTTTTCCATCACGTGGACCACAAGGCAAGCTGGCGGAGGATGTTCTGAGCAATGTTCTGCTGGGAAACCTTTGGTTGTGGCGTTCATGAAGATGTTACTTTGACACGTACCACCTAAACATTGTTGCGGACCACGCACACCCCTTCATGGCAACCTGATCCTTCAGCAGGATAATGCTACCTTGCCACAATGCAAACATAGTTCAGAAATGGTGTTGGCATGGCCTCCAAAGTCTCAGATCAAACAACTGTCTGCGAAAACAAATCTGATGCATGGAGGCCCCACATTGTAACTTCCAAGACTTAAAGGAACTGCTGCTAAGATCTTGGTGCCTAAAACCTTCAGAAGTCTGTGGAGTCCAGGCCCTGATGGGGAGAAGCTGTTTTGGTGGCAAATAGGGGTCCTGCACAATATTAGGCTTTATTTTCTTGTGGCTGATTGGTGTATGTAATCTTACCAGACTGCTCTTCTACTGTTTGTCAGTGGAAGAAACTTGACCCCAGGGTAACAACATGTTTATGAGTCATGGGGTTAAAAGTTTATGAGACTCAACAGCTAATGAGTAATCACGCCAAAATGAGCTGCATAAAACCTTCCTCAAGTCATGGGAGGAAATTTTCCAAAAAACAACAACATTTATAAGGCGAAAGTTTTTAGGACAGTAAAATAATGACTAAAAAGTTTTGTTGAAATACAGCAGAAAGAATGTCTGATGACAGAACAAAAGGCCGTGCCACACACTTTACGCGGGTGTATTCACAAAAGTTTATGTTTTCATTTGCTAATCAGTCACATTCCCTTTTTGATAATGCCAGCATGACAATGAAGTCCACATAGATGTTTCAGTCATCTGCATCAGAGGAGGCGGTTAGGTGACAACGCGCTCAGTCCCATACCACGTGACTGATGAAAACGTCTCCAGAATCCTTGAGAAATTTTTTGTCTTTTGTGAAAATCTACACGAGAACTGCGGCTGAATGAGTCAGGTGTTTGTTCTGACTCACGGCCTTTATTTTATTCTCCTTTATTGATTATTCTCAGAAAATGTGGTTTCATTTCAATGGAACTTCCTCAAGAAGTAAGCTGAAGAGCTAGTCAATACTAGAATTATTATTATTTATTTTTTTCATTATGTCACTTGTTTTCTTTGTGCAGAGGTGAGTTACATTCCAGAGAAAGTGGTGGCGCGACGGGGCGAGAACGTAACAGTGTACTGCGTGTTCAACGACCACAGCATCAACGCCAGCACGGCCGTGTGGATTGCCAACTTCCAGCAGCCGCTTCATCACAGCCAGTACCACCCAGTCAACCAGTGGGTAAGAAAACACTCTCTGTGCAGGGTCGTGTGATATTCTGGGAACATTTCCAAAAAACTAAAATGACTCCCCTGTGTATTTTTAGAAAAGTACAGTCCTTGTAAATAGGTTTTTTTTTTCTTCTTTCGTAAACTAGGTCAGCCAGATAACAGTGCGTCCGTCGGAGACTCACATGTACGACCTGCTGAGGTGTACGAAGGAGTGGAGCCTCCCTTACAGCCAGATCTATGTGGAAGGTGAGCTGTGAGGTGTCCAGAAAACAAGTTCACTTAGAGGCAAACATCAACATTTAATATCTGTTACTGGAAGTCTGTTGCCCCTTCAGTTTTCCTGTTAAGCGGACAAAAACAGGAAAGAGTGTAGTGGCACAACAATGTGAACCAAAGTAACCCCAGCGCACACAGATTGTCTCTGGTGAGGTTTTGTTTTTGTTTTTGTCTCAACTTTAATGTGATTTTTTTTGTGTGTGTGTGTTTCAGGAGCTTTGATTGATATAACGTGCAGAACCAACGGAGACATTGATGCCATGCACTGCAGCTGGACGGACACACAGTTGACCAAACTCGTATTTCGATCCAGGTAAAGCAGCATTTACCGCACGGTCGATGTTCCCTGCGGCGGAGTGCATTTGCATGATTGAAAAAGTGTGGCGCTGTTTAATCAAACCGTGAGCAAACAATGAGATCTCAGTGTGCAGAAAAAAAACCTGGAAGTCAGTGAAACACAGTGTCCTAGACAACATGTTCAGTGAACACACCCTGGAAATAGTCTGCACAAAGTCACACCAGGAAGTTTCTTTGAACTGTAAGTCAATGTCATCAGTGTTACCGGCCTCGCTGCAGTGGGACGTCTCTTGAAAGGCTGACAGAATGACGTCATTGTGGCTCTTGTTACTAAACATTGTGCAACATCACAACTGAATCCTCCACAACAATTATCTGTCTTGCCTGCTTGAGGGCTCCCCTAAAGGAAAATGAATCAAGGAATGTTTTGATTTAGGAGACATAGGAGCTGTAATGTTGGGTACAAGTCTGATAATTGTTAATGCGACTTGGCTCTTGTGTTGTTAGATTATCTAATTTTCCTCCATGATAACACTAAAATTGATGAAACAAGGATATTACTAAAAATGACACACACACAGGTTGTAAGTAAAGCCGTTGCTAAGCCACTGACGATTGGAAAAAGGAAAGGAAATGGTGACATTGTTACTCAAACTGTACAACTTTCCCATTCAATGAGCATTTATTGCTGACATTGAGGGTGTGCTGGTTAGACTGTTGGTTGATTTACAACTTGTCTGGTGCTTTGAATGCTTGTTTCTTGTAGCAAATATGCTGGATTTTCAGAGCTTACTTTTTTTAAAATGTTCTCTTGGTAACACATTATTATAACTGATATTGGTGGTATTGGTGATTAAGGGTCAGGGTATGCTCAGACAGGTTTGTATTGCATGCTGCTTAGGCAGTTTGGAAATCAAAAGTTGTAGTTGTGCCAAAAGTTGCACTCAAAGTTGTGACAGAGACGGAAACTGAGATGTGATAATCGCGAAAGTACGGGGATGACACATCCTCATACTGTAAGGCTTTCACCATGTTGCATTTGTTTATCCATCTGAAAAGTGCTGCCAGTAATCGCATGCAGTTCTGAAGAAGCATGCAAACAGCTTAATAATAAAGCAAGACTCGAATTTTAATTAGTAGGAATCAAACCGTCATTTCTGCAACTGAGCGTCTGATGCACGATAAATGACATAAGATAAGAATAACAACGCAAAGCTTTTAAGATCCCCTCATTTACTTCTTTGTCTTTTTGTCACTGCAGCTGGGCTGACCTGCCCTGCGACGTGATGGAGGAGAGGGAGAGGGCGGGGGAGAAAGTGGGGGAGATGGGGCCTGCTTGCAGTTCCTCCCAGAAAATGTGCACCATCCAGCCTCTGAGGATGAACTGCTACAAACTGTGGCTGGAGGAAGCTTCGCAGCTCGGCCCTGTCAGGTCCAAACCCGTCTACTTGTCTCCTATAGATCACGGTGAGCGAGACGGAATCGTGTGTAGAGAAAATCATGTGCCGAGAAACATCGCTAATAGTTACATTCGATCCTTCTGCAAATGTGTCAATATAAGGCGCTGAAGTGAAACTGTTTCCTCTATTACGACATTTCTTAGAACAGATTGTTGCATGAAAGTTCCAACAATTAGAGTTGATCACAGTTGACATTCATAGAACTCGTTACTGAAGCTCTAATTTATTCATGTGACTCTAAACATCCTGTGGAAATATTTTAAGAATAACTTTTTTTTCAGTTTAGTTACAATATTATAGAAAACCTTTCACGCCTAATTAGCACATTTATGTATGTATGAAGTGTGCCATAATTTCCGGACTAGTGAGCACGCCTGATAATAAGCCGCTAACTTTAAAAAGAAAACAAGGTGTGTACATATACAGGCCGTACTTGTCTATAAGCTGCAGATGTCCACGTTGTAACATGAGATATTTACACAGAAAGATTTTTTAAACTTTTAATTAAATACGAACCGGTAACGTACACAAATACGTACCGTAAATGCTTTTTTCCAAACAGTGCCTGTAACATGGCTGGTTAAGAAAATATGAAATACAGTGGCCTACCAGGAAAAGTCATTGATGCTATCTTCATCTTCCTCCTGCTCACTTAAACCACTAAAGTCGTCTTCTTCAGTGTCAGAATTAAACAGCCTCAGAATCACTTCGCTCTCAATGTCACTTTTGTCTCGAGGCGAATTCATAAAAATCGTTAAAATCCATAAATTAGCCGCATCATTGTTCAAGCCGCAGTGTTCAAAGTGAAAAAAGTAGCGGCTTATAGTTCGGAAATTACGGTACTCCATTTTTGTGGGTTTTCTTAAAACTTATTTTCTTGTTGTTTGCTTGAGATAATATCAATCAAACTGAAGCTGAGTGGGTTTGACTCAGTAGAAATGACAACAATAGAGATAACTAAAGTTTGATTGATATTGTCTCAGGTAGACGATGAAAAAGTGGGTTTTCTGAAGGTTTGTGAAGATGGAGTTATCTGTTTTTGCAAATGAACTCTTCATATATATATTCATTTACAAAACAGCACTTTTTCAAGCACTAATCTTCAAAGCCAGCCATAGCCACATGAAATATTCACACAGAAAGAAATAAATTATTGATGGTTAAAGTTAAAGCAGTGATTATGAATCTGAAAACGTATGAACAACTTTGAAATTGTATTTGAAAAATATTTGCCCCACTGTGGCTGCTAGCTGTGATGACGTGTACCGGCTGTCTAACAACAGCTGTGTTGCATTACACAAACTGAATCTCTGTGGCTCGTCTCTCCTCCAGTGAAACCTCACACACCCACTAATGTAAAGGCAGTGAGCCAGAGAAGTGGGCTTCTGACGGTCACTTGGGACCCCCCGTTGCTGCCGGTCGAAGGTCTCCAGTGTGAGTTTCGTTACCGCTCACCATCCACTGTGAGAACTCAGCCGGACTGGAAGGTAAGCTTGTCTGTTGGACTGTTTAACCACCAGGTCAAAGTTGGGCCAAAGTGCCCTTACAGACAACTGACCCTTTACTAAAACCATCCATCCATCCATTATCTATACACCGCTTAATCCTCAAAAGGGTCGCGGGGGGCTGGAGTCTATCCCAGCCAACCCAGGGCGAAGGCAGGGGACACCCTAGACAGGTCACAAGTGTATCACAGGGCTACACTTAGAGACAGACAACCAAGCACACTCACATTCACACCTACGGACAATTTAGAATCACCAATTAACCTCAACATGTTTTTGGACTGTGGGAGGAAGCCGGAGAACCCGGAGAGAACCCACGCTGCACGGGGAGAACATGCAAACTCCACGCAGAAAGACTCCGGTGCCTCCACCGGGACGTGAACCGGCAACCTTCTTGTTCCGAGGCAACTTTACTAAAAACCAATTATTCTAAATTTTCCCTGCGTATCGATTTAGCAGATATAATGATTTCTAAAGAGGTTTTAAACTCTGTGCTGCTCATTAATTATTTAATTAAAAATACCGTAAATGATCTCTTCTTTGAAATCTGCTTGAACTGTCACGAACAGCAGGAACAAACATGTTATAAATAAGCCTCCGATTGCTTTAAATTCAACACAGGACGCTCTGACATGAGCGATGTCAGTTCTGTGAGAATCTGTTCCAGCCCCCTGATTGAAAAATTCTTTTGGAAATTGGACACATGCTATGAAATGATCGACAACATTCACTCAAAATGCTGAAAACCATAACTTCTTTTTCCTATTAGCGATATACGTTGCTCTCCTACATGAGCTCTGAAAATGTCCCGTGTGCAGGTCCAGAGTTCAGTGCGGGTTCCGTGGGCCGAGGTTGTGGTACCGGGCATGTGTCGGGTGTACGAGGTTCAGGTGCACTGCATGCACACCAACGGCACCGGATACTGGAGCGAATGGAGTGACTCCGTCTACTCCACACCGCACAACAGCAGAGGTAAAACTCCGTTCATTTCACTCTTGAGGCTAAATTTCAAACAGAACTTTCCGTTTCAGATGATAACAACGTTGGCAGATGCAGTTTGATGCCTGGTGAAACCTTTCAAATTACACCTGATCTTGTGATTTTTTTTCGTTTTAATGAAAAATTGCACATATGATCACCTCTGTCACTAACAGAGGAATCAACTCTGATCTGTCTCCTCCTCAGCTCCTGAGCATGGCCCTGATTTCTGGAGAATCCATCAAGATGATCCACACAGTCGCCGGACTAATGTCACTCTGCTGTTTAAGGTGCACAAATGAAAATATGTAGCCTTATAATCAAAGGTTAATTCTGGAGATTATCTTACTGCCAGTAAATCCTATTAAAAGACCGTAAACAACTGAAAGGTATCATCCACGTAGCCTAACCCAATATCCTTTACGTCTGCGCCAAAGAGCTTAATATGTGTCATATTGATGTGGTAACTGTTGCTCATCTACAATGCCCACCTGCTAAAGGTAATTATTTGGCCTTTTTTAATGAAAGATCCATTTTTAAAGATGCACATATACAAGAGGAACCGCTGAGTTTTAGGCTGAGAACTACTCATTGATGGTTTTGGTCTTTTTGTGGGATTTGTTAATACTAAGAAAAATACAGAGATGTTCTGTGACTTGGGGCAAAGCATTAACAATGTTTAAATGTTCTGATTTGTTGTCCAGCATTTCCCCGTATCTGGGAACTCCTACTGTGTGGATGAATATATAGTCCATCGGCAGACCTCAAGCGGTGCTGTGATCAGTAAGCGGATCGAGCTGGTGTCCTCCTACAGCTTCGAGTGGAACCAGGAGCCGGAGACTGTGACCGTGGAAGCCTCCAACAGTCTGGGGAGCTCCATGAACAACATAAATATGACGCTGGAGAGACAACCTAAACGTGAGTGAGAGAGAATCCAACAGGACGAGCGAGAAATCACAGTGAACGTATTTTTTGAGTTCGTAGTGTGTTTTTGAATATTTTGCAGACTGCTTCACGAAATGCATACAGTCGTGACTCGATAATCCGACCTTTAACAATCCGAAAACCATGCTATCCGGCAGGTTTTTAGGAAAAACGAACGGAACCCATTAAAAATAGCCTCAACATGCCGACAGCCTTGGATTCTGACTCCAACATGACATTTTAGGTCACAAATACGGATAACGACGTATTATCTGACTTAACAATCCGACAAATTGACTACGTTCAGACTGCAGGACTTAATGCTTAATTTGGATTTTCTTGTGAAATCCGATTTTTTGTGAGTTTGTTTACATTTCCAATTAAATGCAACTTATATGTGATGAAGGATGTAAAAACTCTAGCTGAGATCTAAAGGGTTTTTCATTGAACTGTAAAAAAAAAAAAAGAAAAAGAAAAATGTACAGGTCTACCGAAGTGAGGTTAACATCAGTCAAGCCAAGAGACTTTCATCAGAGCTTGAGGTTTCATTGTTACTGTGCTCACATGCACAGACGCAGGTCCACATGCTCTGAAAAGAAACACTTGAATCGTCCACTTGAATCAGAACCTCTGATGAACATAGGTTCCCTGAGCATTTCCTGACATTGTTAATCTAACTTGCTGGACAGTTTGTCTTGCCTGTTTTTTTTCTTTTCTTTTCTTTTTCATAAATGATCTCTTAGGCCATCATATTTAAAACCAGTTTTTCCGATTTGAGCAGGTTTTTGTTTATCATTTTATTTGGCATCATGGTCAGTGTACCTCTAAATGCCTTATAACACATGGCAGAAAAACGGGCATCAAACCTGGGGACAAAAACAACCATCCATGTATGCATACACTTAAACTGTGTTGCTCTTAGGAGGCCATTAAAGCCCTGAGTGAGGCCCAGCTGTCATTAGCTTCAGTGCTGTAAATACTATTAGGAGCATTCAGAACAGACATTACAAGGTTCATTTTTTAATGACAGTATTCTGTTTGTCAACATTTCTGCATGTATCTCCCATTACTCATGATTTAGAGACGACTAACTGGCAGAAAAACAGTGGTTTTCCATGAAAATGGACAGTTTTTTGTCATTTATTTCCCAGAGAACACTGTTTGTTAGACATTTTCTTATTATTTTCTAATTTAAGTGTTGAAGAATTTGTATTTTGTCCTATTAGCAGATAAACAACAAGACCACATAACCAAAGGGCAAACAGTTAGTAAATATGTGGTGAACCTTTTAGCAGCTGGTCCACGTACTTCTCATGGTAAACAGTGGAGGTAAAAACAGAGCGAAAAGAACATGCAATCCCAAATAGAAGTAAATCCTAATGTCGCAACTTTCTCTGTGTCTGTGAATGTGTAGTTACTAGACTGTTTGCTAACATGTTCACCAACTTACAGAACGTGTCCATTCTATACCCAGATTTCCTGTTGTGAGGTGACAATCACTGGGTCACTCCTCTTCACGTTGCAGGAAAACCAATCTTTAAATACGATAAAAAGTGAATAGGAATTTATCGCAGGCTTTCTTTAAGTGAACATTCCTGCTGTAAACAAGCTGTATGTTCTCCACAAAGTTAGTCAAAACTCCACCAGACATTTGCTACTAATGTATTTTTGCATATGAAAGTATGACCTTGCTATAAATTTGTTTGCTAGATTTACCATTTGCTAGAAATCTATTGCTTCTGGCAAACTGTGGTTGCAAACCGCTGGTGAGCGTGCCTAAATGTAGCAGCAGACTTTTTAATATTGCCAGAGTGTTCCTGGAAGTTTTCCACTAGCGGTCAACGTTGGCAAACTTGGGGGAACATTTTCTCGAAAACTAACTTCTTTGCTGTAATTCAACCACAAGTTTGCTACAAATTGGCCGCACACATTCTGCTTCTGTAAGGGCCAAGTTAGTGCAGGTTTCATAACCAAACTTTTAATCTGAATTTTTACCTTTTCTCACGGTAACGGCGTACAATATTACAGATTGCTCCCATGCTGCATGAGACACGTGTTCTAAGGTTGTCTCACAGTGCCACGCTGCCCCAACAAATCTCATATCAAATAAGAGGAAGCCTCAAAACCTTTCATATGACAAAATTAGTCAAGGTTAAACCGACTGTCTCTGAGCACAAGAAAAAAACTGTATATCAGGAATCTCTTTTCTACATTTCAGCTCCAAACTTGGTCCACAAACAGTTTCTACAGAGAGCACAAACACAGTTTATGGCTTTAGTTGCAAGGCGCGCACACACCTCTAAAATCACAAAACACCTTTACTGTAGGTTTTGCCTGCTTCACTTTGCCCTACACTTTCTGATCTATTACAAACTGATGATCTGTATCACATTTTTTAAGCCAAAATTCAACTCAGTGAGGTCATTGGGTGTGTTTTTAATTTATATATAATTTTTTTGGCCTTTCAGCTTTATTAGACAGGTAATTGGAGAGAGGAAGACAGGAAAGTAGGCAGAAGAGTGGTGGAAGGACCTGCAGCAAATGGCCGGATTCAAACCATAGCCCCTGTTTTTGGGTCACCTGCTCCACCTGTTGAGCTACTGGGGCGCCTGTGTGTGATCAGAATTTTGTGAAATGAGCTGAAATCCTCCTTTTACCTCGTTGCATGCGTAAATCAAACTTGACCCAGAAGAGCAGAAGTCAGCTGACAGCGCTGTATTCATCCAGGTGTTTCTTTTGTGCTCTGCAGGCCAGTGTGTGCGTTCGTTCCACGCGCTGATCATCAACAGCACCTGTGTGTCTCTGTCATGGAGCCTGTTGGACGACGCCTCTGTGCCTCAGTTCATGGTGGTCCAGTGGTCGCCTCAGAGTCCGAGTGGAGAATCGTGGGCCAGACTGCCCTACACCGACCACCCCGTCTATCTGACAGGTAAGGTCTTTGTTATCACGTTATGTCTTAGCTTTACCCAGAAACGTGCCGCAGGGTTCGAAAGACACATTATCATAAAAATAATAATGAAATTAAAAGAGAAAAAATAGTCAGATTTCCACATTTTTCATAATTAATTAAAATCACTTTATTCCATATGTCTCATTTAAAAATTCACCATCAATAAAACCGTGGCATTATTAGTGACTCAGCTGTAAACAACAGTCACATGACAAATATTCAGGACGATTTGGCTGAGCTGCAGGCTGTGTTTATACAGAGCAGACAGTAGACAAGTAGGGAAACACACTCCATCCATCCATCCATCCATCCATCATCTATACACCAGTTAATCCTCACTAGGATCGCGGGGGGCTGGAGTCTATCCATGGAGCTGACTCAGGGTGAAGGCAGGGGACACCCTGGACAGGTCACCAGTCTATCACAGGGCTACACTTAGAGACAGACAACCAAGCACACTCACATTCACACCTACGGACAATTTAGAATCACCAATTACCCTCAACATGTTTTTGGACTGTGTGGGAGGAAGCCGGAGAACCCGGAGAGAACCTACGCTGCACCGGAGAACATGCAAACTCCACGCAGAAACATCCTGGGTGTCCTCACCGGGACGCGAACTTGCGACTTTCTTGCTGCAAGGCAACGGTGCTAACCACCGAGCCACCTTCAAGCCTGGAAACACATTCATTTAAGTAAAATATCTATACTATATAGAGTCACCATTTTTTCCCAGTATCACATGTGGGCGCTTGGAAAAATGTTATACATGTTCATTATAGGTTTTGTCAATTTTTGTAAAATAAATAGTCAAAGAAATTTTTTTTTTTTTTAGGATTTCTGATATAAAAATGTGTTTGAAGTCTCTCTAATTCTCGCAGTGGTTGTGTTGTTTCTATAAAGGTGAAGGACTTTATTTTGCAGTGAAAAATGTGGCAGGAACATTAAAAAAAATGACTAGGAAGTGGTTGGCATTTTACCAGATTACCAGTGTGTTTCGACAAAAGTGCAAGTGCACTCAGCCAAACTAACCTGTAACCATTCTGATATATTTTGTCAGATCATGTCTTTGGTTCTGAGAAGACCAGCTTTTCCCTGTACCCTGTGTTTGCTGAGGGAGAAGGGGAGCCAGTGCTCACTTTAGGTATGCTCAGGCTTCTGCTTGTTTTATCAGAATCCTATTCGACACAATGGCAGCGCTTTCGTCGTGCTATGAATTGAAGGTCTGATGTGTGTTTGACTAATTGTTACAGCCTCCAGAGGAGACCCTGCAGCCTACATGATGCTGATGATCATCTCCTTCCTTTCCATCGTCCTGTTTGTCACACTGATCCTCTCCCAAAACCAGTAAGGGCTTTTGCTTACTGAAGTAAAGAACATTTTTACACGCAGATCTTTCAGGTTTTACTTTCACATTTGATGTCATACCAGGTTTTAGTTGTACGGCATCAGCATATACAGAATTAGTTTTTTACACAGACACCTGTAAGAAATGAGGAATGATAGTCATGTCTGGGGTTCAGTCTAATTAAGGATGCAGAGACACTGACCATGAAAAATTAGGAGTGTGACATTTAGCAGGTCACAGAGGTGTAATTACACTTGATGTTGGCTGAGAGGGGGTGGAGACATTAGAAAACAGAGAGGAAAGGGGGGGAAAAAATCTGAATATCTGCTGTGTTTCATTTACAGGATGAAAAAGTTTGTGTGGAAAGATGTTCCCAACCCGAACAAGTGCTCATGGGCTAAAGGACTGGACTTTAAAAAGGTATAAACAAAAAAACAAAAACAAAAGCAAAACCATACTGCTTACTGCAGCCCTGTAACAGAAAACAGTAGATCGTCTGTTTCACGACTGGAAATAATCGTTTCAGTTTAGGCGATGAGAGGTAAATGGGTAGAGAGTGTAAAATATAAATGAGTATCAAACCTTGTAACTTGCTGTCAATTCTGCAGACAGTTATCTTCATTGTTTACACATGGACTCAGATGTTACACAGACTCTGTACCAGACAGCTGTCAAGGGTAGAATCCATGTAATGTCTGACTCAATCTAACGCCTACCTTCTGTCAACCAGTACAGTTGAAACCAGACGTTTACATACACAGTGTAAAAAGACAAATAACTTTTCTTTTTTTTTTCTTCACTGTCTGACATAGTAAAAAAGTCTCTGAAAAAAATCTCTCTCTCATTATTCTTGCATTTAGCAAATAGAAAGAATTTTGGTAATCCTAGCTGACTTAAAACAGGAAACATTTAGTCTGATTTAATGTCAGATAGTGAAGGAAAAAAAGTTACGTGTCTGTTTATACAGTGTATGTAAACTTCTGGTTTCTACTGTAGATGGACTTAATATTTTAATCCATGAAAGTTTTCTTTTATCTGCCACTTTGATAAATAAAAACAACAGAGGCATGATTTATTTATGCAGCTTTATGCATGCATCTTGGTAACAAGCTACAGTCCGCACATTAAGCCACGTCTATTAATAAGTGAAAATATGCAGTTATTCCTTTTTCTTCATTAGACCAGCGATCTCTGCAGTGTCATATATTTGTGTCCATACTGGGTATCAGTTCATAATGCGAAAACTAACTTGATTTGTGTTTTATCTTTGCAGGCAGACACCTTTGACCACCTGTTCCAGACTCCAGAGGGTCTGCCAGCCTGGCCGCTGCTGCTGCCCTCTGAGAACATCTCCAAGGTCATCATAGTGGACAAAGCTCTGACTATCCAAACCTCGCTTATGTCTCTGACTCCTGATTCTCCCACTGCCTCCGCTACCTCACTTCCTCCAGGGTTTGACTCAGTTGTCGACCAGTTCATGGAGAATGAGATGTTCCTGGATGAAGCTCCTTCTTCAGGCATTAATCTGGATAATTTAATCACTTCAAGCTCAGAAATAGATGACTTACAGCCAGCTGATCCCCCAGAGGACCAGCACCCAGGTAACAGTGAGAGCTCTGCCCAGTCCTCGGTTACATACGCCACCGTGCTGATCTCTGACCCCAAACACGACCTGCCGCCCATTCATCTCCATTACAAGGACGGAGGAGGCAGCAGCTCCAGTGACGAGGGGAACTTCTCTGCCAACAACTCTGACATTTCTGGATCTTTCACCGGTGGCTTGTGGGAGCTGGACAGCTGCCGCGGCGGGGATATGGACGACCCAAGACGCTCCCGCTCCTACAACTCTGTGGAGGAACTGTCCGAGACATCAGAGCAAGAAGACGAAGGGGAGGTGAGACAAGAGAAGGACTTGTGTTATTTAGGAATGGAGTACCCAGCAGAGGATGAGAAGAGTGAGGACGACGAGGAGCAGACAGAGGAGGAGACAAAGACTGAGCTTCTTAAAGGTGTTGTTTGGAACAACGAGGGCTGCTCCGTGGAGTCGCACCAGTTGCTCGGCCCGGAGGACTCGAGCGAGCTGCTGTCAGCGTCGACGTACAGCCTCTCCCCACTGTACCTGCCTCAGTTCAGAACTGCTGCGCGTACGAGGCAATTCTCAGCTCAGACACAAGACAGCAAACCCCCGCTGTGATTGAAATGCGCGCCATTAAATCCAGTGTTTCGTGAACCGCGTCATGATTCAGCACTTACTGGGGTGGATTTGCATCGGCTCTGTCAGACATACTGAGGTGTGGAGCTGGAAAATGTAAAAAATACCTCAACGCATGCGCGACTGCAATTTGAGATTCATCAGTGCTGCTATTGTGTTCTGTGGGAAGAGGAAGGCACAAGCCTCATCCATCAGGCGTTTCTTTCTTTCTTTGCTGGGCTTTAAAACCCAGATTCCATTGTGCCACCCTGCCTTTGTGCACTATTGATCACTGATGCAGGAGCATTTGCTGAGAAGGATAAAGCTCAGAGGGCAGCAGGGAGGCTGTACAAGCAGCGTGTTAGTTGACAAGAAGAGATCAAAAGAGGAGGTTGGCATCTGTTGGCCTTAAACATCCTGTAGTATTCATATTTTACAGGTGATCATATCTTAGATGTGCTTGAATTAAAAGAAGCGAATAACACACTCTGCCTACCTACATTCAGTCATTTGTTTCTAACATTATGCTGAAACGCCTTTGCTGAATTCTTTCCGTTACATATAAGATGAAAGCGGTTCAAAGAGAGTAAAGAAATGCACAGAAAGCAAGAGAGAAGGCCCATAATCTGCCAAGTTTGGGCTTTTCTCAAAGCACATGTGACGTGGATGTGAAGTGGACGCTACATCAAAGCTATCGGTGTGACTAAAGCAGACCAGTGGATGATGAAAGCAGCTGGTGAGCGAGTGCAGGTGATTTCCGGACATTTCATTTTCATGGGCAGCTTGAGTATCGACATCTGCATGGACTGATTCACTCGCCAACCCAAAGCATTTCTGTACCGTAATGTGTTTGAGCTACAGTATGTGAGAAATGTGATATCTATTTTTGTCCGTGTTTTGCCGTTTAAATGGACAGCTGCTGTCTTCTGTACACAGAAGACAAAAGAATGTATATTTGAATCCAGAAGATGTCCAAAATTACAATGGATGACAATATTTAAACAAAAAACTTTATTGAGAGAAATTGTTATTCTTTATGAAGATCTTTTGTCTATTTTTCATGGTGAAAATAAATTATTTATTGTGAGTGTGTGTGGTTTATGTAACAGGAATCAGTGCTGCTGCATTAGTGACCTGTCATTGGCTACATGGCTCATAACAGTAATCTAGCTAATTGTAGTATTGATAGAGCTCCATAAACAGAACAGTCGCTAATTATATGAAATGTTTCTCCATCAGTGAGTGCACACTTATCTGTTCTATGTGTTGTAGAGTTGTGTTTATTATCACAAAACCAAAGAGTGGAAACACACCAGACAGTAAATATGTTGAGAATTGCACGCAAAAAACATTAATACAGAACATGTTCCCCTCCGAAAGTGCAGTAATATTCTGTCACCTTGTGGCAGCAACAAGTAATAACATCAGGATGACATCAGGCTCCAGTCTGTACTGCACTTCAGCCAAACAAGAAGATGGCAAACAAAACCATTATACTTTTTTTTTTTTTTTAGTTGTTTAAGATCAGTTTTGCCACATTTAGCTGGGGAGTCCTACCACATGTTAGAAACAGATCATAGTCTGATTGCTATGTTTTTAGTATTACATCCATCCATCCAT